CTATTCATTTAGAGTGAGTTTAAGGCTAAAGCTGGACTGAGTTGTCATTGTCAGCTGCTATAATTTCATAATTGAAAATCATTGGCATAGTTGTTATATTATCAAGATAAGTAATTACAATGATAAGCATTAGATTTCTGAATATTTGTGATGGTAATAGTAATGATATTCATCCTGCATTTTTGTTTTTGTATTACTTGCAATTTTGTTGTTAAGTGTAATCATTTAGGTGTTAGTTGTGAAAAAAGGAAGTAGGAAAAGAAAAAGTATATTTATCTGGGTCAAAAAATTAAAAAAAGCATGTAAAAAAGTATGAAATTAGAAAACAACTTGAAGGCAAAAATAGATCAAATGCCAGAGCATACTATATAAGGCAATGTAACAGGGTGAAAAGCAAAGCAAAAATTGCATATAAAATCAGTAAAAAACAAGTAAATAAAAAATATTTCTATTAAATAAGAAAAAGTAGGGTTGTCAAAAAATAAAAGAAACAATGGGGTTGAGTTCAACCATAATTATAATTAATAGTTCAATTAATAACAATAAACTTTAAGTAATAAAAAAAATTTATGCATGAAAATAATACAAATATTTCAAACCCTACTTTGCAGAAAATGATAACGTGGCGAGCCCATGCAATTACAATTTTTAAGAAGTATATTAATAATTATTTTAAATTTTCAATATTGTACTGAATCACAAAATTCAAAGAATGCATTACCCTATCCATAGTTTAGATTTTTTTATTGTGATGACAGTAATTATTCCATCAATACTAGCTGAAAAGTCTTATTCATATTTATCACATTAATTAATTTACATCATGATATTGTAGTGGAGCAATCAGTAGGTACAGAGGCATAATTATTATTAAAATTCTATTTACATTGTAGTCTTCCTGTTACCATTTTCTGCAAAGTAGTGTTTGAAATTTTTGTATTATTTTCATTAATAAATTATTTTTTTATTAATTAAAGTTTATTGCTATTAATTGAACTATTATTATTATGGTTGAACTCAACCCCCTTGTTTCTTTTAATTTTTGGCAACCCTACTTTTTTTATTAAATAGAAATTTTTTTATTTACTTGTTTCCATACTTTTTATTAAATATTATTAATTAATAATCCTTTTTATTGATAATTATAATTTTTGCCTTAGGTACCAGTTCATTAATGGAAGAAAAGAATTTTGAAATAAGAACCATAAGAAGACTTACCGCATTACACAAACAGTTTCTTAATTTTTGAATCATTAATTATATTCATAGCCTAACTCATAATTATTAATCATTAGTTGTCATTATTAAGATCTATGTGCGGTTCTGAAACTATATTCAGCTTCAGTTGCCACTTTCCCGCTCACAGCTCTCAAACTTTTCTGAAGTTTTGCTTTGCAAACTAAGTTTTGTGAAGAAGCAGCATGTCAGTTCAGTTACAAACTTACATTAGCTATTATTATGTTTTCTTATAGTTTATGGATTATGATGAGCATCATGGAGTTCCTCCTCTTCCTCCACCACCACCAGTAGTTGGAGGGCCTCCACCACCACCTCCAGCCGGAGGCCCGCCACCACCACCACGACCACCAGATGATGGTCTTCCTCCACTACCAGTTCCTCCGCCACCTCCAGTAGCTGGAGGTCCTCCACTAGTTGCTGATGGTCTTCCACCAGAGGCTGGAGGTCCTCCACCTCTGGCTGGAGGACTGCCACCAGTAGCTGAAGGTTCTCCACTGATGGCTGGAGGTCCACCACCAGTGGATGGAGGTCCTCTGCCACTTTGCCCTGCTGCTCCAGCACTCCATTTAGCTGGAGCTGGAGGTCCTCTTGATATTGCTGCTCTGCAAAGGCAGAGGCAGCTATCATATGGCAGTTACGCCAAATCAATCGAGAAATTGTAAGATTATTTTAGTTATGATCTGCAGTTTATATAGACACCAATAAACCACCTTTCTACTCCATTTTCCTGTAGTACAACAATCTTCTGAGAGCCAGGCCAAGAGGCAGGGGCAGGGCAGATGCAGGAGGAACAGCAACAATACCACAAAAAAGAACTATAACTTTTATTAGATTATTATATAATATGGACATGTAAAAAATTAACTTTTCTTAAATTTAAAACTAATGATTAGAGTCAAATATTTTTAAGCGTTAAGCCAAAACAGAAATTATAATAGCAATGCTTAAAATTAGTATTTGTTCAAGAACGCAAAACAATTCAATACTTGAGCTTCAATCTTCCTATAATACAAATACATGTGATATACATTACTTAATTATATTAACGAGAAAAGAAAAGACATACCATGGCCATAGTTAATCAGATAATCAATATTAATAATCAAAAAGAATTATAGCCTTGGATCATGATCTATCACACAATATTATAAAACTGTGGAATCACACAATATTTTATCTTACTATGTATTCAATTGCTAAGACTAAGACGATATGAAACCTGTTCAGCTGGAAACTGGCACCTCATCCAGTGTGAAAGCACCACTGATCAAAGAGCTACAACAAAACATAATGTTACCACGATGATTATTTATTAGAAATTAATTTAGTCAACACAAAACGAAATCAGACAATAGCCTTAGACATTTACCAAGCTATAAAAGTATTACATTACACCGTATTGCAAAATCATTAAATCATTTGCACTTGAAAATAGCTTAAAGCAAAGTAAGAAAGAAACATCATCAATAGCAAGCAATGTAAACACAGAGGCTATATATGCTATAATAAATATGTACATGTATATGCATGATGTAACTTATGTTTGTCACAAACTTACATTACAAACCACTATAAAGATACATCTGCTCACAAAGATGAATAGGCCTTCACCTTTTAAATCTCTTTCCAAGTCCGACCTTATTCTCACCACACTTAAGTCCTTGTGTAAAATATGTATCTGTGTAAAATATGAATGTGAAATTATACATGTACTAACAAATTGACAGTAGCGTACATGCACTTAACAACAATTAATATAGATATAAGACATGTATAGCTCCACAATGCATATTAAGTTATGATTGACTCATACAAGTGTATGTACATACACTGTACATGTAATTTATACATACACCGTTCAATTTGATGACACATGCCATCCTAAATTAAGTTTCTTTTACGAGACCTGCATTGTGCAAACACACATTAACCCTTTAACACCGATAGACGTACTTGTACATCAATAACATGAGGGGGTGTAGTATAATTGTTATTTTCTTTTTTATTTATGGAAATATAACATTCTAGAAGGTTCTCCTTTCATCTCTCTAACATATATAACATTGTCAAAGACTAAAAACAGAGTAAATAGGTAGAAAAGTCCAGTAGCGTGACCCAAACTGTTCAAAATGATCAGCGGCCGAGGTAAGTCACCTAAAAAATGACACAACAACAAAAGACAGAATGTTTAGACTTACCTTTGGCTTGTGAAATCCGAAATCCTCTAGAAGTGAGTAAAAAAGGCGAGCGACTCGAGAGAGCTGCTTTGCCTAACATTTCAATGGAGAAAAGCGGTAGGTGTGGCCACATTTTGCTTAGCAACGGCTTAGCAACCATGGCTTCTCGACCAGTCACAGTGGTGTTTCTACTCGTAGCATCTTCTCCACTGACTTCTGCCTCTTCATTCTTTCATATCCTGCCTACTAGGTCCTGCTTTACATGATACAACTCTCTCTTTCCCTTCGCCAAGTCCGTGTATTTGAGAAAATCGGTGAGTATCTTTGCAATAGACGCTGCATTGCTTTATGCCGCTTCATTTACTATTATACTTCTATCTAAGGATGAACATCCCATAAAGGCTGCTAGCAAGTTTCAAGTCTCGCAGGACAAAATCTTGAGAGATATGAATTGCTCAACTAGTACCACCAGAAAATTATTTTTATTCCAAAATTAATTTCGGTGTTAAAGGGTTAATAGACCACATGAATACATTCCAATGTGCATGCAGACAATTATTTTTGTATTGTTAATGAGAACATGCATACACACAACAAAAAATACATTGGCAAGTATTCATTTATATTGAGTAAAGAAAGTACTTACTGTGGCCATAATTAATGATATAGTCATCAAACCATAAAGTATGTAGCCTAGAATCATAACCTATACCAAAATACATAAGACATCTCACAATAATCTGCATCTTACTACATATTCCATTGCTAAGACTATATACAGTAATATAAAACCTATACATACATGTATGTAAACTGGCACCTCCTACCGCGTGATACAACTACTAATCAAGCAGCTGCAACAAAACATTAAGTTACGTTTAATAAATAAATTAATTTAGTTACAACAATCTAAAAACAGATTTGCCTTTCATTACATTGAACATTCCAATATCAAGCAAAGGTATTGCTGAATCAGCAAATCTTCCCAGCTATAATTACCTGTAAAGCATAGTAATAGAAACATATCAAAAGGAAGCAATGTAAACTCACAGGCTAATAATAATAATAGCACTTACCAATCACATCAAACCTCACTCTCTATAACCACATTGTAGTCCTTGGGCTAAGCAAGTACCTGTAAAAAGTATGAATGAGACATAGTAACTAATAATGATAATGGTAGCATCTACAATGTTTCTGATTAGATCATACATGTATGTGCATGCATGTATTTTAGACATAATATTGCTTACTAATGCTATCCTCAGTTAAGATACTTTCATGACTTGCTTAATATAAAATAACATTTTGTACATGAAGAATTTCCAATGTGCAAACAATGTTTTTTGTTAATGACAACATGCACATGTTACAACAATCATCAATAAAAGATGCGCAACATTAGCTTGCAAGCATTTATTATGCGCACAGCATTGATGGCAACATCAGCAACATCAGCCGGCAAGCATTAACTTAATAATGCGCACAGCATTGATGACAGCATTATGTGCAACATCAGCTGGCAAGCATTTACATATATGTAATGTGCACAGCATTGATGGCAGCATTAACATGCATGATGATCATTATTTATTACATGTACAGAATCACTGCTTGAATAATACTAAATGTATAATAACAAATTTTAATGTTACTCAATTTTTTTTGTCAGGACTTCAAAATTTTGCAGCAGCGCCCAGATCCATAAGCACCTGTTATTTGTAATAAACATGTAGTACAAGCCACAAACAAGATCCAAATTTGATAATGACAGCTTCCTCCCTTCCTAACCTTCTGTCCTACATAAATGATAGTCACACAAATTTGAATCAATGCTTAACTCTAATAAACAGTAAACCTCTTTCACACCCTTTCCCTGTCCATTTCAGCAACAAGTAATCAATATTCACTGTTATGCATATACATTGATTAATCTCACTTCCTGAATTGAGTTAGATCTCTTCATACTAAGCAATACTGGGTGGATATGCACCAATGGTTTTCACACACACTCACATCATTCACATTGCACATGCAGTGAAATACAAGTCACATTAAACAACGAATGTTTTTAAGATGATGGACCTCCCCCCATACAACATACCCACTTCCATCAACAATCAATGCTTAAAAAAAATTAGACTTAACTGCTTGGAAATGATTAGTACCAACATACTTCAAATACAAAGCAGGTGTAATAGTATCACAAGGAATGCCATATAAAGTTTGGGTTCCATATCTAGCCCAGCCAACAAAAGTAGCAGTTAGTGAATATGAATATACGGTTGTACCTAATATTGCAGTTAGTGTAATAATCTCTGTGTCAGTGGCCCACACATAATTTCTATACATTTGGATTTATTTATGTAATCATATATGCTTGAATATCTGGTTGCACTTAATGTACTATTAAACAATTCTTCTTCAAAGTTTGGCATATTACTAATAATTGCTTTACGTAATTCGTAATGCTGAGAAATGGACCCAGTGATGAGATATGAAAGGGCATAAAATAAACAGTTCCCATCACCAGGGACATCAAGAATACTATTAGGAACTCTTTCATCTGACAATGGTGTTGTTGGACTACCAGGTAAGATTCCAGAAGCTGTGACAAATTTGAGATTTAAAATCTCACACCACCTTCTTTGATATTCATCATTACCAGGGTAATAATCATAATCCCATTGTCTCCTCGCAATATCTGGGTTGGGAGGCTCTTCATAAGTAAAGATGACATCATTATCTTTTTTTGGATTACTTGTCTTTAATTTAATGCTTGAGAGTTTTATAAATACAATCAGACTACTACTACAATGGTCATTTTTTACAACACATTTGGTTTTATCTTTTGGTTTACATTTAATGTTTGAGAGTTTTATAGATACAATGAGACTTCTATAACTATTGTCATCTTTGACACTAAATTTGGTTTTTAGGTCTTTCAAATTAATTGAAACAATTTATCATTGTTTTTTGAGCGAGGCAATACCAAAGCACTATTGTCAGAACTACTGTCTATATCAACTTTTCTTTCTTGGGGGCAAGGCTTATTTAACGCATTATTGTCACAAATTTTAGTCTTTTTGGGATATCGGACTTTTGTAAATCAGTACTCTTACATTTATTGCTACTAACCGTACTGTTAATAGTACTTTGGACATGACTTACAGACACCTTGGCATTCTTACAACAAGGTTCACCATCATCAGTTATACCAGTCACTTGAATCTTTCTCTTCTTTCCTTTACTTTTCTTGATTTGAGGTATATCATTCCGAAATTTACTTCTGAGGCAGTTAAGTTCGTTAATGCACGGATTACTAACTTTAACAGAGAGAGGATCAAATGATAATAAATGTAATCCATTTAATGTGTGTACACAAGACAATGCAACATATGCCATACCATCACCAAAAACATCAGTAGATAAATCAATAATGGCTGTATCTAGTGAGAGGCCCTGACATTTATGTATGGTAATAGCATAAGAAAGTATAAAGGAAACTCTTTTCTATGTATATACAAATTCTTAGATAGCATAAATCTAGAAGTAACCCTTTCTATGTCACAAGGTACATCAATATGATCATATTTGATTGATATACGTGTAGCATAAATACCCATTACTGTACCAATGGCACCATTAACTAATCCTACAGTCATCAATATTACATCTTAGCATTACTCTACAGCCTACTGCTAAAGACAATACAGTTTCTAAACCAGCTGTTTTGCTTGGTTGATCTTTTAGTTTCTCTAATTTTTTTCTTGCTTTTTATCAAATTTTGCTGTGCTGCCACTTTCATCACAACATTAACAATTGCCAATTCTATTTTCTCAGTTTCTAGACCTAACATTAATTCATTGACAGGCGTCTACTTTAGAAAATAGGCAAATTGGAGGATTTTTTCCTTCACTTTCCAATTCCTTATATTTTTCTTGTATTGAAACTTTAAATACGCGACTCTTAAGCGTATCAATAGTTTCATCAGTCAGACAGCCATGTCTAACAGAATCAAGCATCTTAAAGAAGGTTTCGTCTCCTTTTTGTCGCTCAATGATTGTTAGTTCATCATATTCTACTGTTTCTTTCCATTTGTTAACTGCATTTGCTGCTACAAGTCTAGTTTTTACTAGTTTGTTGCTAATTTTTTTAAATACTGGTCTACCATTAACTGGTGGCAATTGTAAGTGGTCACCTACAAATAAAATATTTTTGCATCCAAACCATTCATCAGTTCCAAATATATTTTCTAAGTGCATGTGTAAGTATGCTAGATTTAGATTGGATACCATAGATACCATGTCTACTATTATAATTTTCAAATTTTTAAGTGTCATTTTTATTTTTTTCTGAGCTTCTTTATTCAAAGCCCAATATCCAGCTGTCTTTCCCTCATGCTCTATTGGTAGCTGAAATAATCTATGTATTGTTAGTCCTCCTACATTAAAT